GCCAAGCAGTAGGGAGCAGCAAGCAGGCAGGCGGTAAGGAGCGAGGGGTCCTGGACTGTGAGAGGGCACAGGCCCAGCTGAGGGACATTCCCCCAACCCCAAGTGCATGAATTTCACGCACCGGGCCTCTAGTATATACATAGTATGAAGTAGAATTGTTGGATCATCTGATAGTTTCATTTTCGATATTTTGAAGAACCTCTATACTGTTTTCCATAGTGGTTGCACCAATTTACATTTCTACCAAGGGTTTCCTTTTCTCCACACCCTCACCAACACTTTTTATCTTTTGTCTTTTTTATAATAACCATTCTAGCCCTAGCCAGTTTGATTCAGTGGTTAGAACATTGGCCTGTGGACTGAAGGGCCACGAATTTTATTCTGGTCACAGGCACGGGCACATACCTTGGCCTGGTTTGTCATGGGAGGCAACCAATCAATGTGTCTCTCTCACATTGAGGTGTTTTTCTCTCTGTCTCCTCCCTCCCTTCCACTCTCTCTAAAAATCAATGGGAGAAAAATATCCTCAAGTGAAGATTAACAAAATAAATAAATAAATAATAAATGTAATAGCCATTCTAACGGGTGTGAGGTGATAGCTCATTGTGGTTTTGATTTGCTTTTTCCTGCTGATTAGTGATGTTGAGCACCCTTTCATGTGCTTATTGACCATCTGTATGTCTTCTTTGGAAATATGTCTATTCAGATCTTCTGCCCATTTTTTGTTTTTGTTTTTCTAACTTGGATTGTTTGTTTGTTTGCCATTGAGTTGTAAGAATTCTTTATATATTTTGCTTATTAGCTCCCCTATCAGATATATGAGTTGCAAATATCTTCTCCCATCAGATGCAGTTAGGTTTATGTTTGAATTTTCTATTCTGTTTTATTGATCTATGTACTCATGTGCCAATACCATCTTGCTATTATATTGGCTCTATAATGTCTTATTAACTGGTAGGGCTCGCCTCTGCACATTTTCTTCTTTTTCAGGGCTTCCCCAGATATTCCTGTTCATGTATCCTTTTAAATGAACTTTGTAATAAAATTGTCTTAACTCCAAGGCTCCCTCTTCTGTTGCTTTTTCAAAGTGTTAAAAAATATGGCCTTGTATTATTATTTTTTTTGGCAGTTTTGCACCTTTTTTTACATTAGACTCAGAGGAGAAGACATAAGGGGGTTACATGAAATTCACTGGTGATAAATTAGGGGGGGCTGATGAGGGAAATCTCTGGGATTGGATAAAAAGTTTAAAAAAATAGACACAAACTTCTTTTTAAAATGTTATCCAATAGTTAACAGTTAATATTTAACACAACAACAATAATAATTGGGGCTCTCTGGTCTTCTGTGCTTGGAGATTGTGCCCTTAGAAGTCTGTAAAAAAGGAAATTTACCTGAAAATCCAAAGGTATGTTATCCTAGATGCAAAAATACAATACGCCAGGCTCAATAAGTTTGACCTCTGCAAAAACAAACAACAAACAACACACACACACACACACACACACACACCACAAACAAGGCTAGGATATAACTAACACTGTGACTCGCTTTTACTTTTAACTTCAAACCATCCGATAGGGTTCTTTTGGCCTCTGACTTTGTAAGATATGGCCTTGTATTTTTTGACTCCATCCTCCTCTGTTCTATGTCCCCACTTTTGTCTAGACCTTCTCCTTCTTTTCCCCCTAATAGCCTTCTTCTGGACAATTTGAATCCTCCTTTTAGAAGCTTTCGCTCAGAGAAAGCATTTTCTATATTTCATGTAGCATTGTTTTGAAATCACTAATTCAGTTGCTGAATAGGTATGGGATTTTGGTAAATCTATCCTCATATTTTTCATCTATACATTGTAAATAAAAAATATCTATTTCATAGGTTTTGTGGGGTTTTTTGTGTGTTTTATTTTGTTCTTTATAGCTACAAATAATTGTCAGCCAGACCTCAGTCCTACCTATCAGCAGAACTTGACTAATTTAATCACTCCCCTAAAGCACATTCTTCAACTGATGTCTATGACATCACATTCACCCATTGTTTTCCCTAAACAACTTGCCTCTCCTGTCCCACTCTTTCGGTGTTTCCTCCTTATCCCCTAAATGTTGGAGAACCTTAGAAGTCAGATTTCACACCTTTCTCATTTAAACTCACTCCTTAAGTGAGTTTATACAATCCTATAAATGTAAATATCCCCCAAACTCCCCAATTTTATATCTCCTGCCTGGGCCTCTACTATGTACTCAAAATGTGTACATCTAACTGCTTCCCTATCAACTCCCTCTGATGCCCCAAAGGTATCTTCATTGTAACTTACTCCTAAACAACTCTGATATTCTTCCCCAAACCTGTTTCTCCTGTAGTCTTCCCAATCTTAGTCAATGACAATTCTGTTCTAGTAGCTCAGGGAAACATTCTTTCTCTACCCTCTAATCCACCTTCCCCTGGGTTCACTCATGTGGCCACAATGACAGCTCAGCTGGACTGGCTGGAGTGACTCGGACAGCTGGGCTGCTCTCTACAAGGTCTATCTCAGGCTTCTTCAGATCCTGGCTTCTTCATGATTCCTGGAGGGCAAGTTCCAACATACAAGCACTTCTTACATCTCTTCTTGACTCACACTTTCTAATGTATTCATTTGAATTCAGTGTCTTTACCATTGGAGGAAGTTAAATACTGAAGAACCCGCCCTTGCACATACCTATGTATGGTGAAATGACTGTGCTGGGCAGAGTTGCCGCGAGATTTCCCACAGTATGGCAGTTACTTACTCGTTCGCAATCAACAAACTTTAGCCAAGCTTCAGTTAGTTGGCATTTTGTGAGGCCTGTTGACGTGACCACAGCACTGGGCTTTTCCTCCCCAGTGACAGGATGATTCCTCAGCTATTTTCGTCTGTGTCAACATTCCTTTCCAACCCAAATTTCCTCAGGATTTGCTTTCAGGTCTCTTTTTGTAGCTAAAGCCACAAATGTTCCCAGCTTTGGAGATTAGAAGTACTGTCCCTATTCCTTTAGGTTTTTCCAGTGTTTTGCAACTTGTACTTTTCCAGACCTTTTCATTCTTTGATTGGTTCTGTTTCTTAAATTTTCTAATCCTTTCACTCAAGTTCTCTTTCTTAATCCCTTTCTTTGCTATCCTTGGATTCTTTTGATGTCCTTTTTCTAACTATGCGAACTGAATGTTTAATTCATTTATTTTTGTTCTTTCTTTCTAGGTAATGAATATGTATGAGCTATTAAATTTCTTTCTAAGTACTGCACTGTCTACCTATTAAATCCATTCACCCGGCTCAGATTCACCAGGGAGCAATCTTTCCTTTTACCATTCCTCTCTGAAATAATTTCTGTCTTTGAAAGTAGCACTCTTGGGCTACTCATTCGGCAACCTCGGTGGAGTATGGCACTGTGTTCTGCCTTAGCATAGTGTCCTGGCACAAATAAGTGATAATAACGATGAATAACCTTTATTGAGCCGTTACCCTGTAGCTGGCATTATACTGTATACACATTTTAACAACTCAACACTAACCTTCCATGGCCTTTTCACAGAGGAAATACATACTGGACGTTTGTCCTGTGCTTCTATTCCTGAAACATGCCAAACCTTCAGTTTTAGGGCCTTTTCCCCTTACCTGTGTTGCTGTCCCTCCATCTTCTAATTGAGTACTCAGAGCAAATGCCATTTCTTCAAAGCCTGGGATGGATCTAAAACAGCCCCCCTCCACACTTTCACACATTTATTTTGTTCGTAGCAGTAACTCATATTCTCTTGCTCATTTATTCTTTTCCTTGTTATGATCTGCTTGCCTCCCCCACTAGACTTTAAACTCCAAGGAGCAGAAATTTTGTCTCGTGCACCACATTTCCAAGGCCCTTAGAACAATATCTGGCACAAAATAATCACTGAATAAATATTTGTGGAATCAATGCATTGCCAAAGGCAAATAATAGACAGATCCTGAGTGTCTATTAGGCTGTGTTGAGTAAGCAGCTACTTTTGAATCTGAAGGTGTGAAAGTGTGACTTCTATGAAAACCACCCCTCAATAGATGTGTGGCTTAAGGCGCCTCACTCCATTTCAACTGCGTTTCCTTACAGTGAAAGGAGGAGGAAGGCCCTTTTCGCCCATTTTCATCTATTTGGGATTCTACACAGAAAAACGTACCTTAAACACCTGGGCGAGCAAGAGAGGAGGAGCAGGTGCTTTTAAGGTAGCTCAGCAGCAAAGAAGGGGGAGAGGGAGGGCAGAGGAGTGGAGCAGAGTGCAGTGTAGGGTAAGGAGCAGGGGAGAGTCCGGTGCCTCCGAGGGCGGAGGGGCACGGGTGGTGGTGAGGCGAGCACCGAGGTTGGGAGAAGGGGGCGCAGAGTGGGGAAGGCACGGGGGGCGCGTCTATCCAGCTGGGGTGGGCAGGAAAGCACCTGGCGTGGACGAGAGGAGAGGGTTGGGTAGAAGATGTTGGGGGTGTGGTGGCATCCGGTACCCACCCTGCGCGGAGGGGCGGCTAGAGAAAGGGAGGGGACGCGCAGGGGTTGCCAAGAGCGCCGTCTACCGGGCAGGCCAAGGCGGGGCACTGGCAGGAGGCGAGGGTGGGTCTGAGGAACTTCTGGGGGCGACCAGGGTCACCAAGGAGGCCTCGAGGGGGCCGAGGCGGCGGAGGACAGCACAGGGGGTGCGGAGGGGCGGCTG